TTGGAAAAGATGGAAGAAAAAATTTCGAGCCATTATTGAATGGCATTCAAAAATAGAATTTGAGCGTTTCTGAAAATGCTTGTTTTTCAGCATATTTTCCCAAACAAATGTTCAGTTTTCGAGAATATTTTTATGATTATTTAAAGCACATATAAATACAATCACGTGAACGTTACGCCGCTATGTATGCGGCGTGAGATGCTGGTGAAAAAAAAATAATTTCATTAATTAAAAAAAAACAAAATTATACAACAATATGGCGTTTATGTCATCTTAGAGAGTACATTTAGCACTATCCATTCCAAAGTTTCATGAAAAAAATTGTAGCAGTTTTCGAGAAAATTTTGTTTGTTGTTATTCTTTAAACCTGCACACATTGCACGCAATATAGCACGAAAACTACTAAACTTTTCAGAAAAATGTACATTAAAAATGACCTTAATGAAAAAACTAACTTATAGAGAAAAACATTTATTTGAAGGAAAAATCTCTATCTCTAATTTTGTGGTTGTAGGAAGACGCTAAAAAACTTCCGAGTAAACAGAGAAAATAGGACCTATGCCATTTCACTTTCACGCAGTTACTAACATAAGGGGAGAAAATATTGTAAACGTGCGCCAGAAAATGGCGAATTTTTGACTCAAAAACTCTTATTGCCGAGCCCTAGTAAGGAAAAAGTGCATAAATCTAGTTGGTAAATATAGAAAAAAAAACATTCCTCGAACACGTGGTGTAGCTAGAATCCATCTTTTGCACATCCTCCATACCGAAAAATCTATTGACGGCAAAACGTGTCTTAACGTCCGTCTGTGCACAACGCTAGCCTGTAAACCGTGTAACCGATTTTCTCCAAAATTGATATTCTCCAATTGTTATAGCTAATGTCGTGTCTCCTGGAATTTGAAAATGATATTTTAATTTTGCATGAAAACCTGCGATATTTTCAAAATTTCACCTAAAAAAAAGGCTCCAAATTTTTTGATTAAATTCTGACGTTGAATAGTGCAAAAGATGTTTACGAGAATGGTGCAGGTCTCATTTTCGTTGACATCCCCAATTTATCGAAAATGAAAAAAGAAATTAAAACTTCAAATTTTGGAGATAGAGATTTTTGACTCAGACAGTCTGTTGTACAAAATTAGCTCTTTAAAAAAGGTCCTGTAAAACGATTTGAAAAAACGAGTAGGTTTTGCGTATTTTGCGATACAAATTTACATAACCATTTTTCTAAAAAAGAACACTCCAAACATTTTCTTAAAATTTTCTCCACATGTGTAATAAGGATCGGTATGAAATAAGGCGCTAGTATCATTTTCGGGTATTGCTCTTTTTTTTCGAAAATTGTAAAAAACTTTTCAAAACTACAAAACTGAAGATAAGAAATGTTTGCCTCAGCCAAAATCCGTTGTACAAAATTAGCTCTTCAAAAAAGTTCATGTACATTTTTTGAAGAAAAAAAAATAGTAGTTTTGCGGAAATTTCGGCTTAAAATTAATTAAATATATACGTTTTTTTCAACAACTACGGACCACCTTCGATTTATGGCCAAAATGCCGCTTTTAGGAAGAATTGATAAAATATGTGACCATTGTTGGCAGCGTCCATCGCTGAGATGTGTTAATATAGACAGAAATGCGGTATAATATTATTACCGTTACTAAGGGGCAAGAAAAAATGTGCCTTCTTAGCCCCACTAGTTTTCATTAGTGCAAACACTACACATTTTTTCTGTTTCAACGCATTTGTGGAATGTGCTTAAAATACATGTTGGCAATGAAACGCACAACGGAGTGTGCTTAAAATACATGTTGGCAATAAAAATATTTTAGAGAAACTTTCGGATACGCGTTGTGAAGCGAGCGCTGTTGCCACAGAAGCAATACTTGATTCATATCCTCTAGTTCGTAGCGCGTTTAATTTGATCACCGACGATAATGATCAAGAAAGAGGTACTAAGCGAGAGGCAACAAATATCGCTACGAAAATGCAAGAACCTGAGTTCGTTTTTATGCTAACAATGTGGATGGGCATTTTGCATAATTTTCATCACACAACTCAAGCTCTTCAAAGTGGATAAATTAATTTGGAAGGTTTTTGAGTAATCTCTCTGTATCGTTGACAAATTACTTACAAGATCTCCGCGTAGATTTTGACAAATTCGAAAACGCGTCAAAATTAGTTCTGCCTGTTGATTATAAAGAAAACTCTAGTCGAAGACATACACGGAGAAAACAGGTTAATAATGGTGAAGCACGTGACGTAGTTTTAAGTACGAGACAAATGTCGGGTTTCAACCTTTTATGTGAACACTGACATTCTACAAGCTTAGATGAAAAGTAGAGGCAATGTTTATAAAAAAATCTTAGACAAGTTTTCTTTTTTGTTAAACATGGACTTGCCTAACGAGTTATCATCTAACGTTGGAAAGCTTGTCGCTTCGTATCTGGATTTGAATCTTGCCGGAGAACTGAAGCAATTTCATCATTACATTCTTTTGAAAATGAATGAAGATAAAAGTATTCATGTTAATGATTTTGATTTCCATAAAATCATTAGTAATAAACTCCAGACAGTTTTTCCGAACTTCGAAATCTACCTTAGAATGTTTTTAACATTGATGATAACAAGCTGTTCTGGAGGTCTTTTTCACAGTTAAAAAGGATAAAATATCCTCTGAGGACGACAACGCGACAAGACACTACATTGAGTTCATTGGCTTTACTATCAATTGAATCCGATGTTATGCGTCGCTTAAATTTTGATGATTTAATAAAAGAATTTCCTCGACAAAAGTGTAGAAAGTGTATGCTTTAAATGAGTTATATTTTTAAAAATCTACTATACATATGAATAGTAAAGTGTAAACCAGAAGCATTAATGAATGTATATTTATTGATTGATAAATGAAATATACTGCAATTTGTCAAATGTGAAAACAAAACTATAAAAAATCCTATTTAGATAGATTTTAAATTAAAAATTTGATTTTAATGTATGCATTTGAATAAAAAAATTGATCAATGGGGCCCAAATCTTTTACTTTTTAGAGCCCCACAGACTGGTAATCCGGTCCTGTACCTAAAGCTGGTATCGCATTCAGAGGCCACAAGTCGATAGATTCTCCTGAATTTCATTAAACACGAGAATAACAAATTGAATCAGGAAGGAAAACTTTTCCTTTCACCCAGTCAAGGTCATACTTGATAATTTTTTCAATACTTAATTATCCTTACGGTGAGGTATGCTAACTTGCTTGATACGTGTCGGTTTTCTGAATCTTCTCTTATGACCAAAGTGCAGTCAGGGAATTAGAAGTTTTCTTCGGTACAGTTCTTCAAAAAGGTTTCCAAATATTTCGCAGCCTCAACTACTAGCGTCTATTAAATTTTAAACTCCCTCACCAAATCCTTGTAATTAAAGCGCGCAACGAATACCATATACTGCTCAGCACGCTCTATACTTTACAACCACCGACAACTTTCTGTACTCTACAGCAATACAAACATTCCCTACTCGACCATCACGCAGATCGTTCTGTTCTCTACCAAAGCGCGCGTCCTTCTGTCCGCCAAGTTGAATCCTGGCCTTTCAATGGTATTCCTCTATGTGCAGTAACTATGTGCGTAGAGAGAGAGGCGGTGAGAGGCGGAGAGAGGAGGGGGAGGGAGGGAGAGGGAGAGAGAGGATAAAACATGTGAGGGAAACGGACGACGTCCAAGGCAAACAAGCCCGAACATAAATGAACCTGGTTAGCTGAAGGAAGAGTTGACAGTGAAAATTATACCCATACCTGCAAGTGTACGTCACTATATTCTTACAAAAAATTGGGACCTTTATTCGAGAACATTTTTAAAATGTCACAGGGGCTTCATGCAAAGTATCCCCAAAGTTTAAATAATGTTTTCCGAAAAGAGCAGAGAGTCAGGCGAGATCGACCGAGGAATATTCATTTTGTTTACAGACGGACTTTTGAAACAAATAAAAAAAAGTTCGTATCCTTGGACCCCACATCATACATAGTTGGTGGATTACTTAACTTTCTCTATACTACGTATATATTACTCCGTATACACGTACGTAGTACCTACACGAGAAGGTAAAAACACTTCGCGCATACGTACGTACAAGAGGAAGTAAAACTAATAAAACAAGAGAACCGTTCGTAAAACAATTGAATTGTTAGTAAAGTAAAGATAAAACAACCCGAAAGCCATTAGTATTTAGTTTCAAATGGTGAGAGTTTGTGGGATATTTGTCACATTCAATGGTTGTTTTATATTTTCGGAAAACGCGTCTTGAAAATAATCTTCTTCGACATTAATGGTGTCAATTTAATTTTGAACTAACTTTAATATAGATGTATAAAACGATACAAATTTCATAACAGTGTTAGCGTGAAAGGTATGTCATAGATTGGCATTTCTACCATTGTGAAAGTACAACTAAATAGAAAGACGTTTCTATTATAATATCAGTAAAAAATGTAATCTTCTACACGAATTATCTTTGAATTTCCATAGGATTTGAATTAGAGCACTTTACACTGAGATTGATTGCAATATCAATTTCCCTTTATTGCTGGAAATTAAAGCACTTCTATTTTGCAGTGCAAATATGGGTCAATAAAGCAAATGAAAATTAAACAGAAAAGAAATGACAATGAATTTCCTAACATTGGGAATGGGAAAGTTTTTTGAGAACATTATATTTGAATTGGAATCCATCTGTTTTAAAACAGATATACAAGAACGCATCACTTCTATTTTACATTTTGATCCTTTTGAAGTATATTTTCTCTATATCTTGCACCTATAGGTAGTAATTAAAAATGGAAATTTTGTGACTCGAACTTGAATGCTATAGCCTTACAAATAAAAACACAAATGAAACTTAAATGAAAATGAAATTCTTTAAAATTCATTTTCAAATCATAGTGTTCATATACTTGGAAGGAAGTTCAAGGATAGACGTTGGTAAAATGATGCAAGGATCATTCCAAAGTGCTTTGCATCATTCATGTAAATGTTTTGAAGACCTATTTTTATTTCATAATTGTTGGAAGTAAAGTATAACAAATAGTACACATTTTTTACAGGCAAATATTTCATAATTTTCCACAAACACAATGTAACAGTGGAAAGTGCATTTCTTATAAAAAAAGATTCACCAGCAGATATAGTGTTAAATGTAGAATAAAAAGATAAAATGTATAATTAAATTTAGTTGAACATAAACAGCTAATAAAATGTACTGTTGTTAAGTACCTGTTTTGGAAAATTGATTCTGAGCTTATTTCCCATCACATGTATTAGGGCAATGAATATTATAAGTTTTTATAATAAAGCCTGTCACTAATATATTTATTTGCAAGGCAGAAAAGTATTATTTTTTTAAATTGAAGACTCTGCTAATCTATTTTTTGTCTACATCTTCTCATTACTTAGAATCTACTAAACAAGGGCTTACTTTTTTTAAATTACCTTTTCTTCAAACTAACATGCAAAGTAACTAGAAAAGAAGGAAAGAAGGGCTTATAGGAAGAAACAGCATTTTCCGAAAATAAGAATTAATTATTGTATTCTGCTGTAAATGATTCAAGAAATTGCTGTTTATCGATTTCATAAACTCATTTAATGTTGGTTCCCATTCCTGTTAATTGTGTTGTGTAGGCTGTTTGCTCCTATGTGCTCTTCTCCACACAATGGCCTTAATTGATGAAACAGAGGAACACACTCGAACCAGTTGGGTTTCATTCATTCCCTTAAAGGAAAATATCATTGATACAAGACACACAGTAAAATAGTTATACAACAATATTCTTCTGGAAATCTAGGCAGATGTTTGGAAATCATTACCTCTACTGGTATTTGGAGGTCTAATAACTATTGGAGGTTTTCTTGCATTACAACTACCAGAGACGGCGAATAAAAAATTACCTGATACCTTTGAAGAGGGAGAAGCATTTGATCAGTAAGTAATTTATTTTAAATTATCCAATTAATTTACAAATATTTCTTTGTTAAATTAGATACCAATATAAAAATCCTTTACAAATTAAAATTAAAAGCTAAAAAAAAATTCATTTGTAGCATTTAAACTGGTTTCATGAATTCTTTTCACCTGTATTTCACTGTAATATTTTTAGTAAATACCCAGTATTTAAAGAGCACTTAATTTAAGGTTGTTTTGGTATCGAAAAGTCCACTTTTGGTGGTATCAAATCAACCTTACTCTAATAATTACCATCTTAGTATTCCTTCCAATATCTACATTAAATTATTGAATTTGAAATAGCATGTATATTAAGCAAAGCAACAATTTCAGATCAATATCTGAAGAGGCATCTGAAGTCCAAATTGAAGAAAGCAAGAAATAACAAAACGTAGAATATTAGTAATGAACATTAATAAGGATATATAATTTTTTGATGAATTTACAAAACAAACATTACTTCTTAATGTATCTGAAACTTTTGAAATACTTCTTCAATAAGCAGAGTTTGGTTATAAACTAATTTTCTTAAAACTAAGTTAATGACAGCAGAAACATACAAAAACTAAAGTATCTTTCTAATAGTAATAGTAATAAAAGAAATATATTAATTATTGTAAGTATAGGAAAATTTTGCAGAACACAATTATGTTCATTTAATATTTATAAATGAAATGACACCTTTGAAAAAACATTTATAGAGTTAAGAATCTAACTAATTTTTAACTGCACTCCAAGTGCACAGGTGTACTCAAGGAAATATGTTTCTGTGTTTTACAATACATATAAATTATTTTTCAGAAATTTTATATCTTTTAGGGAGTCAAATATCTTCTTACTATCCAAGTTGAAATTTTTTGTACTGTATTATGTAAGCAATTATGTGAACAATTGCTCACTACTATTACCTTATAACGTGCAATAGAACACTTGTCAGATCTGGTTACAATGTGAAAAATACAGTCATGTAAACACTGCTTGAGAGAGTGAGAAACAGTAGACATCAGAGAACAATAGTTCATTATGAAATAAAGAACTTCCTTCAAGAGACAAAGGATATTGCAAGGACAATTCACAAATTGTTCTCTGTAAACCAGATGTAGAAAGCAGATTGTAGTACTACAAGTCGGAGATGTCACCTGCCATGCAAGATCACAAAACAGATGCCCTGACATCTTTTAAGAAGTATTCTCACGAGCTTTATCTGTGATGTAATCAAATATACAATACTATCATCATTCTCAATCATTATTTATATTTTAATGTGAAGATTGTAAAATATTTACATTAATACATTTTATTTAATACAAGGCATCCTGAAAACATTGTTACTCTTTTCTTGAAGTTACCTGTTGTATGAATGAGGAAGAAATTCATGCTATCATAAAATCAATGTATATTTTCCCCATAAATTCTGGCAAATATACAAATCACAATAGCAAATTACTTGTATTACATCGTAATTTCCCAGAGTTCTAATATAAATTAATTCACCCAAGAAAAATATGGCTTGTAATTATATTGCAAAACATAGTTCAATATTAAAACTAAGATATTGATAAAAATTAAGCTGTTATAGTAGGGTATCTTTCAAAATGTATGATTTTTTTAAACTAAAATAATTGTCTGAATGTTAAAAGAGTTCAAGTTAACAACAAAAAATGAAAATACTCAAAACATAACACTGAAAATATCATTAGCCCCGTTTAAATCTTTGTAGACCGCTAGCACACAACAACTGCAGAGTACCTTTTTGCCACCAGGCCATTAGCCTTTGCAGAAAAATGTAGGTCATTGCCTGTGTCATGGCCCAACCAGTCTACCTAGCAGCTCAACACCTGTTAGTGGATGGTAAGGGAAGTCCCCTGGCAGTTTGTCGTCTGCACTCTCTCCATTCACATCACTGGTGAGTTCACTCTCCTGCAATTGAACTAGAAGAAGTGGTCATTGTTTTGATAATGTCATCCTAGCATTTTGTAGTATTTGCAAAAGGAAATGTGGATAAAAGTCAAAATATGAGAGGATTGAAAAATTTTGATTTGAATGTCTAGTTGTTGTTTTTTTTCCCTACAGCATGAAGATAAACAGTTAAAATTACAAGATGAATTCACCATCTCTAAAAAAATGTTACAAATTGCTAATTCTGAAGATTGCTAGCACTTCTAACTTTGTATGAATTTCCTCCACAGAACAGGTTTCTAGAGGGAGTAGTGGGAGTAAAGTAACACCAGTACTTTCACTGAAGCCAACAAGAAAAGAAATAACAAAACACAAGGTGGATATACACACAAACAAAAGTGTTCAGTCTGTGCTCAGTTACGCTGAAGAGAGTATCTGATTAATTTCTAACATCATAGTGATTTTAGGTGATTTTCATACATTTTAATTATTATAATACAATAACTAGCACACTTTGAAGATTCATTTCATGCAATGACAACTATTCATCACAATGCTCACCAGACAACTCCATGCAATTGCTTCCATCAAAAGATTAATCACATCATTTGAAGCAAAGTAGGCTAAACAGGAAACAACCAATTAGTCGTAAGACATGCCAAGCTGTCCTCACAAAAAATGGACTTGCAACCACAGTTTAGAGGAATCCATGGTTTACAAAGCATCTAGAATTGAGATTGCACTATGAGAATATTTTGCTTAGTAATTGAAAACTAGGAATTCTGTTTTTTCCAGTTTATTGTTCATGTGAGAAGAAACAAATAGAAATATTTTCACATTTTAACACCACCTAATAGGAATTAAAAGTGATAATCTAAATTATTAAAAGTGAGTTGTATCTTGTTGCAGTGACGTTTGACAATGGTTTTTGATGATGTATTTCCCTATCTTGGAGATTTTGGAAGATACCAAAAACGAATTTATTTTCTACTATGCTTACCTGGTATTCCAGTTGCATTTCACAAGTTGGTCAATGTATTTATTCAAGCATCTGCTAGTCACAGGTAAGACAAATCTTTCAAAGTTTTAATACTTAATTTCTGTCCTGCATGTAACTTAATTCTGACAGAAAAGAAGACATGTTACAAATTATTTTCCATTATTTAACCCCATGAGAAAATCAATTATGAAACTTTAATAAAGTAATTTACATTGTGTTTTAAAAAAACTGTAAAACAAAATATAATGTTATAAATTGAGAGGAAAAGTGAGTGAAAGTTTTGTATTAGTAGTAAATGTATCCAAAATAGTAAGTATAAAAGGAAAATGAAAAGAAAGGATAAGTGAATGGACAAGTAAGAAAATATGAACAGAACACAAAAAAATATGTTTGATTGTGTAAATCTCAATCATCAAAGATAATAAATATCATTATCAATAAAATCACCTTAATCATTTAATTTCATGCAAAAATACTAGTCAAAGGGACTACAACTGTAATTTCAAATAAATTTATTTAGCATTTACTTAATTTTAAAGAGATTCACACCATTATGTACCTTCACAGTCATTGTACAAGCTGTTAAAAGTCATGCCCTAATGTTGCAGGTGTCGTCTCCCCTTCGAGGCAGAGAACGCTACTTACCACCTTCCGGCACACATCCTCAACTTATCTTACCCGAGAGACCCGGGAGGAGAGAACAAATGGTCATCTTGCGAGAGGCTCGACACTAATTTCAGTGCTGAATACTGGGACATAGGAAAGCCCGCCAACTCGAGCCAGTTATGCGATGAATGGGTGTTCGACACTTCCCTATATCATAGCAGCGCCGTAACTGAGGTACAAATGATTAGTGCAAATGTTTACCATCGTAACTTACGTATAGTAATTTTAAGATCCCTCTCCATTTTTGAATGCAATCTCGTCAATTTTGCTCTAAAAGGAAGAGAGTTGCGCAAATTATTTTAGACTTGGTTACATTAGATTTATCGAAGTGTCAAATTATATTTTGAATTGTAAATGTTCGGCGCGCGTTGCACTTCTGAAGGTCAGAAGCATCATACCTCATTAACTTAACTAATTATAAATTGTTAATTAAATGTAATGAAGCTGAGTTCATATTAATATTAGTAACATGTATAATAAGTAACATATAATATTAATATTAATAATAATAATAATATTAGTAACATATAATATTAATGTTAGTACAAAATTTAAAAAATATCAAACGTACACTGACACGTAAATAAGACGTATCTTGAGATGTCGGCTGCTGCTCACTGAGTCTTGCCAAATCGGAACTCTCAACTGCACATGTTCGCAATGTTAATTTGGCTATATTCTGGAATACCAAAGTCATGGGACGGAGAGAAAGTTGGACATAGTTGAACAATTGGATACACTACGTTTTTTATATAGTTCCGAAAGTTGCAGTTAAGTAAAACATCTGCGAGTTTTTCAACAATTAGTTCACTTTTGCGCAACAAAATTACTATTTTCTATTTTCAGTCTTCTAGTAACACGCACTAACTCGATGCCTGCAGGCGTCAACGTCCTTGGCGTCAGCGCGTGAGATCTTGCGCTGTCGCTTGCGTCACACGAGAACGTGAGCAAAAGGACTAATTCGCTGAACTTTTTGTACGAATGGAGCACTAAATTATGTGACAATTATGTCATTTAGCTTAACACTTTAGATCATTCCATAATTTTTCAAAAGTGTTAATCAAAATAAATTTAAACACCAGTTTTTTAAATCTCTGGCGCATTCTTAATAATTTTAATACTGATATAATCGTGTAAATTAATTGAATGAATAGTGACGTTTCTCAGAGACTCAAAAGTCTTTAAGCTCAAAATGGCGCATATAAAAAAGGTCAACTACTAACAGTTTCTCAAAAACAACTCCAATTTTATTCTTAAAAATTCTCACAACAGAAAATATTTAGTTCTTATATTAAATAATTCATTCGGAATCATTTTGGGTTGATAGGAAATTGGCGGTGACCGGTTCCTTTTTGTCATTGTTGTTTCATTGCTTCGTTGGTGTTCGTTTTGGTATAATTGTATTACATGCACTAAAATATAAATGTAAAAATGCGTTGCTTGTAAAGTTGTTTTATTTATACAATTGCGTTGGTTAGTATATAGAAATGTATGCCTGTATAATAGTATTTCCTTTTACAAGAAATTCTCTTACAAGTGAGAGGTATATGAAAAAGCGTGAGCATCGGAGCGAACCATGTCGCGAGAAGGACGCGAACGCAGCACGTGGTTTTTGTCGGGCGGATCACTTGGCGTCAAAATGCGTTTGTTATAAAACTGCTTGGCTCTAAAATTAATTTATAGGATGAACAATACGATCTGAAATGAAGCCGCATTCATGAACGGTGACGTTGAACGTTCACGTTGTTGAGAACCGACTCCTTCCTTGTGAACGAAATGTTTCGAGTCAAAGGAACCGTATTACCGTCAACTTCCGATATGAATCTAAAAAATTAAGAAACCATGAAAAAAGGTACATTTTGCTCATACCCAATAAGTCATATAAAATATAAATTTTATGCCCACAATTCCGATTTGTGAACTCGCGTCTCGCAACGGCCCATGCGTCATCTACCCATCGGCCAGAATTGGGAAGGAATAAGGATAGGGGTTAATTTAAGGAGGTTTTGTCGTAACAAATTTTACATAAGTTTCTACGGGAATTGAACCCGAAACCTCGGAAGTGAAAGGCAAACTGCGCCCTGACTTCGCCCTGAGTCATGAGAACACGTTTTACAGCATTTTTTATATAGTTAATATAGTTTCAACAATTCGTTTACACAGATGAGTCAAGTGAGGTATTTAGAGCAGAACAGCCTTTAGAGAAATGGCACTAGGGCAATAATTTTTGTTGATTTCTCCTTTGAAGCAAGAAAAGTTAGATTTTTTTCACGTCAATAGTAGGTTATAGGTTCCGGCTATCTTCGAAATTCGCAATTCACATGTTTAAACATGTCTGTAATTCTCAGTTATTTCACGTGAAAACGTAGTATAATGTAGATTTCCACATTTTTTCAATAATATAAACAACTCACTAAAGAACATAGCTTTCAATAAATAAGTTATTTATTTGCATTGCCTGAACGTGTTATGAAAACACGTTTGAAACGTGTTTGAACACAAAATGCAAACACAAATTCAAAGTATGAATTAGCCAGTATGTGGATTATTAACCAGTATGTGGATCTTCAAGACTTTATTTGTGTAAAAGCTAAGCCATATTCTTCAAGACTTAATTTGTTTAAAAGATTAACCCAAATATTACTACGTTAGTACCCAAATCAATTGTTTTCTTCTGCCACCAGGGCTATCAAGCCGTGGACGAAATATATTGCAAGAAATTTTATTAAATATTCATTAAAACTTGCCAAGTAAACTACATTGAAAATACGTTTCATAAAAAAAGTTAACACTAAAATCATTCGAGATAACAAGTAATATTTTAAGCCCGTGACTTGAATATTGAAATTCAACAATCAAAATTTGAATTCAACCCAGGACTCTGCAATTTTTAAAAAAAATATGTTAAAAAGTGCAATATTTATCTATATTTTGAAATAACCATATATTTATTACAATTAATCCATTGAAAAAATAATAATTAAACTATATTAAATTCTGGTTAACTCGGTGTTGAAAGTTCCTCCACTCTATGAAAAATTACGAACATTTTTGAGATTGTGTTTATGAACATTCTGGATTTTTTTCCAAACACCTATTAAAGTTTAACGTAGGTAATCTTTCTCAAATTTCTAAAGTAAAAATTTTAAAAAACTTTTAGTTTATACAAACGGAAGAAGTCACTTCCACGCTAATAGCGCAGTGGCTCAAACTTCATGGGCACTTTTCATAACCGATGAAAGAGCGCGTGGAACCAACTGTTTCATACATTTCATTCTATTATAAAGTAGCACCTTAGTAACATCGTTAAGGTCATGATAATATTTCCTTCGAAATGATTTCATAAAGAACTACAGTTACTGTTCTGTTGCTACAGAATGGCATAGCAACAGCAACTACTTCTGTTGCTACAGAATGGCACAGACTTTCCCGTATTAGTTTTCTATTTCCTTTGGCCTCGACTAGCTATTCGTACTTGCCACATACTCTTGCCAGCTGCCATCTATCGCCGCCCAAAGTGCATGTTTTTGACATTTTCTTAATTTTTAGGTTTTCTAATACTAGAAGGGAGATATTATTTTATGAATGTTAGAGAGCAGTAAAACATCGCCGTAAATGGCAATTTTCTTTCAAAAATTTGGTACCGTTTTTGTGAAAATTGCGTTTAAGCGCTACTGTAAATTAGAAATTTGAAGCTCTTTTTGGCAGAACATTTTTGAATTTTCTAAAAAACTCCATATGAAGTCATTTCAAGCACTTTAATGACAAATACAATAGTGTTTCAAACTGTTGGAAATACGCATATTAACGACGTAAAATATCTTCAAAAAATTACATTTGTGTAATTTCTAAAAAACAAATAAATTCCCAAAAATGAACTTTATGTCATATTCGACAGTGCCATTAGCAATACTCGTTTGAAGAAAAAAATGGAGCGGTTTTTTAGGAAATGGCGTTTGAGCATTTATGAAAATGTGAATTGTGAGATAGTTTTCACAGAATATAGTTGAGTTTTCGTGAAACTTTATCTGAGATTATTTAAAGTACATGTACTCATAAATATAATAATGTGAACAAATCGCTGCTAGTGTAAACATTAACGACGTGAGAGACGGGTAAAAAAAATACATTTTTGAAATTTTTGAAAAAATAAAAGAACAGAGGAATATGTGTTTATGTCATCTCATAGAGTTCATTTAGCACTATCCCTACCAAAAGTTTAAAGAAAAAATTCAGAGCCGTTTTGAAATTTTTTTGTATTTTTTTTAAAAATTGCATATTATGCACGAAAACTACAAAAAAGTTTCCAAAAATGTACACGATTTCAATGAAATAAATAATTATGAACAAGTTTTATATGAAGGAAAAACCGGTATCTTTAATTTTGTAGTTGTAGGATGACGCGGAAAAATTCAAAACTCTGCAATTTTTTAAAATTGAGAGTTCAACATGAAAATCGGATCTACGCCACATTTATCAGTGTATTATACTCTATTCTTTCTTAAAGAATTTCTCAAAAACGCCTTCAAAAAATTTCTTTAACTTTCTTGTAAGAGTACACGTAGTATAGAGAAAGTTATGTAATGTTGCGGAAAATCGATGTTGAGATTTTAAAGGAAGCACAATATTAATTAACTTAATATAATAAATCGTAGGTGAAAACAGACTTTACAAATATTGCGAGGAAGAAGATGATTTTTCGCAACCATTTGCTCGAAGAGCAATGTAAAATCGATGTGAATAATTTTGAATAATTATTGCTTGGAGCGTTTCATTCAGGGCCTAGAGACCATTCAAATTTATAAGATTTAAATTGCCGATTACGCGCGCGCTGTTGCCTACTTTCATTACATTTCATTTTATCTATATTTTACTTACTTTAATTATAATTATTGTTTTAATAATAGTGTACTATTGAAGATAATTTTGTATGATCATTTATTTATTGTACGATAATTGAAGATCATTTTTCAGTGATCTGGTCACGAAGTTGCAATTTAACCATTTTAACGTTGCGATTCAACATGAAGTTCACAGAATAATCTATCATTGTCAGTCGGCGTTTCTAGAAGAATGTATCTTGTGAAAGAACTGGTATTGATAACCGGGACATCGAGGATGTAAATAGTGGATTTAAATTTTGTATCTCTATTGTTAATGTAAGGAAAGGTGAAAGGTTATTGGGGGATGTCATTCGGACATTGAAAAGAAATATTACGTTTAAAATTATTTAATAATTAAATGTATTTTAAATTGCACTTATAACAGAAGACGATAATGCCGCCGTCGGTTCACGTTAACATAAAAATAATTTAATAATTCTAACTGAAAATAATTTTATTTATGGTTAGAATACGCATCGCGCATCTATGGTACATTTATATAGGACGATAATACATTGAAATTAATGCCAGAAAGCTGTTTTTGTTTAAACGATTGAGATTAATATCGCCAGAAAGTACGTGCTGTTGGAGCACTACTAGTTTAATCCTTTTGGCGACATCCGACCCCAAAGAATTTTTGGGCAGCATAAGCTTCTATCTTTCTCCAGTTGATCAAACTTACCACGCGGAGATGCAGGATATTGTTATTGAATTAAAGCGAATTTTTAATGGCTTACATCGGCTCTCGATAGAATCTATTTCTAAAGTAAAACTGAACGAATAACTCGTTTATGATCTAAAATCAATACCAGCCGATCCTTGTGATACATCAACTTTCTCCTGAGCAAATTGAGATAACTAGTTGCACAAATTGCAGCAGAATGTTATTTTAAAATTGAATATCCCTTGACAGCATAAACGTGATGTCATATCAATTAACGCTGGAATCTTGTCATTTTCAGTGGAATCTTGTCTGCGACCGAGCATGGCTCAAAGCCACAGCGGATGCAATATTCATGCTCGGAGACTTATTGGGATCCCTGGTTTTCGGGGACTTGTCAGACAGGTAAGAGTTGCATCTGGATTCGTAGGGATGGGTATATTGTTTAAGATTGTTGGAAATGGATGCGGGAATCTGCAAAAGCTAAAATAGTCAGGATTCGGGACTCAAGAGTACTGTGTGCCTGCCTCCTTTACAATATAAATGTTGCAAAATGACATATTATGTGCCAATTAATCTTTATAGATCTACCATTAATAATTAAAAAATTATTAAAATTCAATATTTTACACGTTGGCGGCATTTACAAATTGATACTATTTGAAGTCAAAAATAAGAACTAATTATGGTAGTTATTTTATGTGTAACTATTTATGATAAAAGTGATTATGAAAAACGTGTAAAAGTAATTTTATTTTGCGAGTAGGAACTGTGGGAACCGAGTGGCGCAGACCTACGAACAAAATAAAATCTTTTTTTACCTCATATGTCATATACCATTTTTAGACAGCCTTATAGTCTCATTTTATTTTAATTTATATATACAAATCACTTAATGGTACATTAAAGCTGAGAAGGTCAGACGAAAGTGTTTTGTTTTCTTGGTTGTATTCACATATTTACCTCAACACTTGAGCATCGCCACTCTTTCAGCACTAGTGCTAAAAATGGAACTTTTATAACGCTATGCATGCTCTGAAAGAACTGCTTTCACTCATGGCTGACTAAAACGTAATATAAATAGAAAGATTAACAAAAACATAATGCTTTATTTTATAAGTTTATAAACCAATTATAAAAATGACTTTTCACTCCTCTCCCCCGTACAGGGACAGGGATTGGGAGTCTGCGTGTTTGGCGGACGGATTACTTTGTTAGGGAAGAATGAGTTATTTTACTAGAGTTTTTGGACAATGGGGGGAGGAGGGAAGGGAAGGAAGAAGGATGTTGGAAGGGAATGGCAGGGGAGGGATGTAAGGAACAATGCGCATGTACTATTGCAGTGTTTGTTCGTTCTATAGGTCCGTTAGTCATGTCAGTAATTTGTCTGTGGTGTGTTAGTCTGGTCAAATTTGCCCTCTGGCCTAAGTTATCGGAGGGAGTTGAAGGATTTCCAGGGGATGTTTTTTACCTGTGTGCCGGGGAGATTTCTTATGATATGGTGGCGGGTTAGGACAATGTTACAAAATTTAGGGTTGATGTATTGTTGAATTTGGGACCTGGAGGAGTTGTACAGGTAGGAGAGGATCTGGGGTATCTTGTGGTTGGATCGGATGCCATTATAGCGGGTTAAGGGTAGGGGACGGAAGATGAGTCGAATTACACGGTTTTCAGTGGTTGTGAGTTTTTTGCGGTTAGTTTGGGAAGTAGTAAACCAAATGGGATGGGCGTAGGAGAGGTTTGGTCGTAAATAAGAGTAATAACTCTGTAATGTTTTAGAAATGGGGATGGATGGGTTAATAAGGATGAGATATAGGGCGTTGGTGACCCGGTTGGTTTTGATTACGGTATTGAGGATATGGCAGTTCCACAGGAGTCGACTGGATAGGGCAATTCCGAGGTATTTGGCGATGGGTTGCCAGGGAATGGGAGTGTGGATTATGGTTAGGGGTGTGTGACTGGTTGTTTTTATTCGAGAATAAGATGGCCTGAGATTTAGAGTGGTTTATGACTATTGAGTTGTGGGTGGCCCAGAGGTAGAGGAAGTCAAGGGATTTTTGTACTTGGATAAGGGAACGGTTAAGGTTGTGGTAAGAAACAAGGAAGGCAAAGTCATCAGCGTATAGGAGTCTCTTTACTCCAGGAGTGGGAGGGATATCGTTGATGTAGATGGAAAAGTTTGGGGAGAGCACGGTGCTCTGTGAGACACCAGCATGGAAGGGGTTGTTAGGGGACTTTTTTGTTTGGTATTAAACGTGAAAGAAACGATTGGAATGGTAACTCTGGAGTTGAAAGTGGATATGGTCTGGAATGTAGAGACGGATTTCCATTAGGATTGGGTGGGAGACGGTAACATAGGTTTGGGTTAAGGCAGTTAGGATTGTGGGGACTTCTTATTGGTTTTGGAGAGGGGTAGCTATTGAAAGAGAGAGGTTTAGTTTGGAGGGACGCAGCCCGTTCCTCGCGGAATCGGAATTGAGAATGATGGAGGATGGGATCAATGAGGAGGTTAGGCGGTAGAGGATTACTTTTTCGGACACTGCTTAGGATACGTAGGAGGCTAATAGGTCTGTAATTGGAAAGATAGTTGGAAAGTTTACTTAAAGATGAGGGTAAGTGGATGGTGTTGTAAGAGAGATTACGAAGTAGGATAAGAACCCCACTGGGTCCGGGAGTCTGAACAGTCAGTCATAGTTAGCAATTGTATTTCGTTGGCGTTGGTAGTCCATATTGCTTGCTGACGGGGTTTGTAGGGCTGGGATTCTGAGGTAGGAAGGAGTACATTGCAGGGATCGGGAGATCACGGGGAAAGAAGCGGTCGGCCAGGGTTTGGGTGAAGATGTTAGTTATAATTTGGGAGTCAAAGGATAGAGTATTGGAGTTGGTGAGAATAGAGGAGACCGGGGTAGGGTGTTTCGTACTGCTTTTATTGTCTTGTGGAGTTGGCCGGGGCTGCGTTTGTTAGTCATATTTGTCTGATATCATATTCAACGTCATATTTGTCTGATAGGATCGTAGCATTGTCTGTATTCGTCTTCGTGTGTTATTTAATAATGATTTGCCTTTGTCACGTGTTTGTAGAATTTGCGTTGTATTTGTCTTTTCAGTCTGATTGTATTATGCCGTCGGGAAAAGTAAGGTGTAGAGTAGGTATGTGAGGTGGTTCGTTTGTATTATGGAGGATTTGATGATTTGATTGGGTTATGGACGTGTCTATTTCATGGATTGTTTGGATATTGCATGGGATGTGGATATTTTTTAGCAGTATGTGTTTATAGGGTTTCCTGTTTGTGTGGTGATGTTTGGGGGACATGGAGTTGTGGATGTAGAGGTGAAGACTTTGGGAAAGTGATCAGAAAGGTCGCGTTTAGGGTACGGTGTGCTTACGTGCAGTTGGGAGGAGAGTAGGATATTGTCTAATATGTCATTTGAATTGCCTTCTATGGAGTGGGTGGGTTCAGGAAGGCTATTAAGTTTAATCTGTGGTTTATTGTCAATTAAGTCGCAATCCTGTCGTGTTGCAAGTCACGCAGCCCCATATAGTGGATTTTGAGTTGAGATCGCCGGCTAGGATATAGAGATAGGGTAAGTTTTGAAGGATGTCCAAATCTGAGGTAGGGATTGGGATACGGCATCTCTTATATGTAGAATTGATGTTAATGGGAGTGGTGGGGGTTCCGATGAAAATAACAGTACTTTTGAAGGATGAGGACGAGGGGAGTGGGTGCAGGTAGTGCGGTATGGATCGTCGGATGGCCGTACCGCTTCTCTGGGTCGAAGTTCGGTCGTTCCAGTGGGAAACAGAATTCTGAATGGAGATGGTGGGACTCATGCCTCCTGTAATAGTAAGATCCTAATGGAGTAATCTTCAAGGAATAGGGTAACGTTCCACGTGCGTTCCACGAGGAACAGGTAAGGAAGCGACGGGAGGGAGCAAATAGGTAAGGAGTTCGACGACTTTCATGTCTGTGAGGAGTAATTTAGTTAGGATATCCTCTGGGCCATAGAGTATTTCTATCAATGTGCGTAGGTAGGGAAGGGGTTTCTGTAAGTAAGGGGATTGAAGGAGGGAGAAAAGATCTTTTAGGTTTTGGGTTGTTGATGGTTGTTGTTGGGTTTGGTTCTGGGTGGGTGGGTTCTGTATGGTTTAGTTGGGAGATAGTAATGATTAGGATTGGAGTGAGTATTTTTTTACGATCTGGGGGACGGGAAATTTTGTATGCTCATGTTAGGAGATTGCGTTTTTAGGATTTTATCCTGGCGGGTGGATTTGGCGTGGGTGATGTAGGGACAGGTTGGGTCAAAGGCTGCATGGTTCGGTTTGCAGTGGAAGCATACGGGAAGGATATTGGGGAATGAAGGGGCATTCTTCAGTGGGGTGGGATTGAGCGCAGAGGGCAGTTATCACATGTCGTCTACAATAGGTCTTAGTGTGGTAGAGTTGTTGGCATCTTTTGCATAGTGATATTCTGTCACTTATCTTGTAATTTTCCAGTCTGATTCTAAATTCGTCGATGTACTTGAGTTTGTTTCTAGTCTCAGCCATGTTCTTTTTGTTTGTATCTATGGTAAATATTCCTAATAGATGTTGGTGTCCGTCTTTGTCACGTCGGTTCATTTCAGATATGTGGTAGTGTGTTATTTTTAGGTATTCAAGGTTCCTTTTTATTCTATTTGTCATATCCTGGTGAAAGTCCTTTTATTACTATTTTGTCTCTAATCTCAACTGTAGCTCTGTTAAACGAATATGAGGCTTTATCAAAAAAAAGGTCTTTTTGGTCAATATTTGCAGTGTTGTCTAGTGTGTCTTGTATGCTGTCATTGTCTGGGGTTGTATGAATACTTGGGTCCTCGTTTTGCGTTCAGCTGGTTACTACAGGCTTTCACTAATCTTTGTTTAGGTCCGTCGTTAGTAGTGTGTTTAGGCCTATTCGGAAGTGTCCTATTTTAGCAAAGCTCTCTGTGCGTTGAGGTTGCGTTTGTGGCTGGGAATTAGGTTCATTGTTTTGGGAAGTTCCTTGTGATGGGGTGGGGTGGAGTCATTATCTCTGCATTCTGTCTGTTGGAGGGGTTCAAATCGTTTGGTTGATTCTATTGACTGGGCAGGGTTTTTTTTTGGGGGGGGGTGTATTGTGTGTTTGGTTACTAGGGTGTACCCAACGTCCTTCATAAGTTTTTTGCGAGTCCTGTATGGGAGTCGTGGGGCCTTCCTTCAGTGGAAAGTCGTGGTATTATTCCCATCAGTGCTCGATGGCGAAGCTACCTCTTTGTTGTCTCCTTCTGTCCGTCCATGTCTCGCTCCAACTCCATTTCCCTGTGGGCAGCGCCTGCAGTCGCGGCCCCTCCAAGACACGTTTGTAGATATGTTTGTTGCCTTCAAAATTCCACGGGCAGCTTAAGGAAGTCCAACGCGTTATTGGCTCAATCGTCCTCCCTCGCCACAGGTGTTGGCTCCGTTGGTTCGGCAGGTGTTTTTCTGGCTGCCAGCGGTTTCGTGTTGTCAAAGGATCACAGTGAATAATTCCGCAAGCGTATTGCTTCGAGGAAGCAAAAAGCTCAAGAACGACTGTTGTGTTCGAGTACGAGCTCTCGGAACTACATATCATCGATTGTATGTGTATTCTATATAAACTGAATATCTCAAAATAAATATTGCAATCTTCTAGGACAAGGGGGAAGTAGGGGGGACGAAGAACATTATTCAAAATTCATATCAAAATTATTTTTTATACACATTTTAGTTGAATGAACGATGGAAGGCGGGGCTTTGCGATAAGGGCTGAGTAGAATAGACCTGGTGGAACGGTGGTGGTGTGTGTGTGTGTGGTGTGTGTGAAGGGTGACTGAGGTAATTGGCGAAGTAGGAAGGGTTGAAGGGTCGAGGGACGGAATATACTTAATAAGGGAAGGCGTTATTTAAATTGCTGGACTTTTCGAGGGAATCCAATGATGAAGATATTCAGGTTGTCAGTAATGTGTATATATATATATATATATATTATATATATATATATATAATATATTTATATATATTATATATAAATCAATTATTAGCATAATCTAATTTCTAAAGTGTGTTTAAATCAGGAATTTTAGGTATGAAGAAAAAAATAGGGCTCTCGAACGAAAAAGTGATAAATTCAGTTGCGAAATTTAGGAAAAAATCCTGTAAACACAATGTAGCCAGATCCATGTTTGGTGGGCCTTGATACTAAGAAATCGAATGACGGGCAAAAATGTTAAGAATGTTCCAAATTTTCATAAACATGCCTCCATCGTTTTTGAAAAAATAGTGTTGAAGAATAGTGTAAAGGACGGTTTAGGGAATGGTGCAGGGCTCATGTTCTTCGAAAACACTGGTTTCTCGAAAATTGCAAAAGTTCAAACTTCTTTCGGAGTCTTTCTACAACTAAAATATTAAAGATAGAGATGTTTTCCATTTACGAAATATGTTCCTTAAAGATAGTTGTTTGAAATAATGTCATGTACGAATCTCGTACAATTTTTCGCAAATCTGAGTACTTTTCGCGTAATTTTGCATCAAAATATGTGCGAGAAAGTACGTGCAGTTCTAGCATTTATTCAATTTTGAAAAATGATCACGGTTTCATAATTTATTAAAGTCGCAATTGGACTACGGTGTAATCCTTGGATGGTAATCATGATTTTCTTACAAAATAAAGTATGCGCACTCAATGCTCGAGCAGATTTACAGAATAAAACATTGCTGTTCCCACACATCCTTTGCCCTGTAAAATCATACTTATCAAACAGTATCCTAAATTTTCATTTTTAATATTTAATAAATAGGAAAAGTATTTTTAAAGCATAATTTACTTGAAAAAGCGTAACTTTGTGTTAACCTTCACAGTACAATGTGAGAGTTCCATGCAAATTATGTTTCCAAAGATATCGCTTTGTTTAGTGCAATAAAATGTTTATAAAATACACAAAATTATCTTTTTTACTTTTTAGTTTTCAAAGCGTCCCAAACGATTACAAATCATTATGCAGATGGTAGTCATTAAAAATGTATCCATATGGAAAAACATTTTAATGAAAACATTTCATGTAAAACATTTTTAATAAAACACATTTATTGGGAAAACATTTCCAAAACAATTTTTAATTCCCATAACTTCTCTTCAAAACCATTTTTGAAATCGTGTTACACGTGCATAGAATTAACGTAACATAATTAAATTAATGAAAACATAAACATGATAATCTTATATTGTAAAATTGATATATCAAACAAGTTAAAAGTAATATGCCAGTTGTCAATGCATTTTGTCTTGTTTTATACTAATACACTAAATAATTAGAAAAGGTGCAGTAAGCATTCAAACATTAGTTGCAGGATTGAGGAAACATGTACAAACTATGTGTAGGTGTCTGTGAGCTACAGTGCACGTGTATTGAGCGATATTGTGACAAAAATGCCTAAAATGCAATGAGGTATACTGTTTACTATACGTTGAAGTACATTTTGAAACCATTATTCCACCGTCTCTGACTGTCCATTTCATACTATATACTGAAAAAATACGGGAATTAAATTTCAATCCAATATAAAATGTAAGAAGTCGCCTATGCATATTAAGTGCTACGTCTGTGATTATCATTCTCATCGATCCCTTCTTCTCCCAGGTTTGGACGCAAGCCCATTTTCTTCTTCTCGCTCGTCCTTCAAGTGGTGACGGGCCTGCTCACGGCGCTGGCACCGAACTACGTTAGCTTCATGATTGCGCGGATGATAGTCGGCGCCACCACCGCCGGCATCTTCCTCGTCGCTTACGTCATCGGTGAGTACGAAAGTATCTCAGGCCGGGGAAGTCCAGGAGGAAACCACCGACCACTTAATAGTGGTCGCATTCGCCGATCAATTTTACTGTCAGTATCATGGGCAATAAACACGAATGTCCGAAACAAGATTCTCAGAATCAAAATAAGATTTTCGCACGCCAGCTTTGCCAAAGTAATTCATTTTAATTCGTGACTGAAAATGAGGCCGCGCTGCAATTACAATTCGACAAATGTTTTGATATCTATAAAACGGGTTTGCTTTTCTTAAAAATTATTGATAGAAGATGAAATACCAACGAACTTCGTTTTTACAACAAAACACGGCGATCACCATACACTCTAAATATGTGTCGGCTCCTTGGAATAGACAACGGAGGCACGGATGTCCATAAAGTTGGCTGACACACTAGCAGAACAAAGAAAACTAGGTCATAATTTTAGTCTAATTAAATGCTCTACCCGCAAATTTTAGGCGGTTTTCGCAAAAATCAATGTTTAGCCAGCTTTAGTATAGAGCCAGCTGACCTAAAATCAAAGAAGAAATGTTAGAAAAAACTACTTAAACACGAATTATTGGCTCACAAAAATTACGACTAATTCAAATAATATTATTGTTCAAACAATTAATTGTTCACAAATGACTGTAAAAGAAGAGGTTGTTTAGAAAGTATACGATACTTACATATCGTACATTGTACATTACTGTATATTATTGTGCATTTTACTCTCTCGACCTACCTCAATTTTGAAACACTCAAATTCACAATGTTTTATTGCCGCTGTATATAACACTAAGACTAAAGATAATCACAGACGTAGATATAACACATTTTCACATTCTCGCCTTACGAAGGAACTTCGTAAGAAAAGAAAGTTATGTAATCGTGCGCAGGAAAAAGACAGAAAAACTCTTATTACCGGGCCATCGTGACGAAAAAGTGGATATATGGTGTTGCTAAATTTAGAAATAAGAAGTTTAGCCAGAATCCATGTTTTGTGGGTCCTTCATACCGAAAATAGTTTGACGGCAAAACATCTGTCTGTTCGTCTGTGGTCAAACTAGAGCCAAAAGTGTTCGTCGATTCTCTTCAAAATTAATATTCTCCACTTCAATCAATTCGTAGCATTGCGAGTTTCAAGATAATATTTTGATTTTTGAGAATACTTCACGTGAAGCGTCAAAAACATTTTCCAAATGTTTTTATAAATCTTTGTCTTCAGATAGCGTAAACAACGCTTAAGAGAATGGTGGTGGTATCATATACATTGAAATCATAGATTTTTTGGAAATTGAAAAACCGATATTTTTGAGCGTCTTTCTACTGCTATAATATTGAATATAAAATTTTTCTTTCATAAACTATGTTGTCTTTAAATAAGTCTTGAAACCTCTGTTCTGCGCTCGCGGGGCGGCCGGGTTCGCCAACCTCCGATCGGAACGTCTGCGCCGTGGACTCACGACCTTGGCCTACTGCGGCCGCGCCGTCACCTCGCTCCCCTGCAAACCAGCCGTCTGCGATGTCGTTCGATGCGCCGCCTTCTCTCGCCCTCCATCAGATCCTCGCCAAATCTTCTCCCGTATTGATCCTTGAAACGCCTGGCACCAGAACAATATAATCGCCCTTCCTCTTTCTTCACCGTCCTTCTCGTGTGGCACGGCGATGCATATTCCAAAGTTCTAACGCGTGTTTGATAACGGCGTATTTGTTTTTGGCGTTCTTAACGACGCTCTCTCGCTGGTGCAGCTAATTTTAACAGTTCTCATAACGCCTTACAGCAGCTGAAGTGTTCACTTTCGCGACCACTTTTCTGCGAATCCAGCGCACTGCACACTGAGCCACTTAGCTCGATATATATAAAAAAATATATTTCTTCAATTCGAATATGCCGCGTTTCCCACGCTTAGCGCGTATTTTGGCTAAGGCCTGCTAGATGGAATGAGAAGTACGATCATTAGAAGAAATTTAGATAGGCGCAAGTACAGATAGAAAGTTTGTGAGAAAGATATATTGTAATTAAAATAAGTGATGTAAATAGAGAAGCGGTAGTAGTGAGCTTGAGTTGTCTTTTCTCTGATTACAGGTAAGAACAAAGTATTGTAAATAGTTTTTGTATAATAAAGTAAATATTAGTTGATGAAAGTGAATAAAACTCCACTCTGTTCACAAGGAAACATATTTTGGCTTAATTATTATCCTACACAAAACACTTGTTTTGGCAATTTGGTAACGCGTGAAATACCTTTGGCTTCACTTTCACTTTTAGCGACCCCCCCCCCGTCGCAGTCGAATGCTCGCAGATTTTGGGGTGGCAAAAACGGGCTATTTTAGTTGAAAGAAAGAGAAAGCACTTATTCTGTCCCTGGGCAGTCATTCATTCACATTTCATTCATGATCATAGAAACTCACTTTAGGATAGGAGAATCACTTCGAAAATGTTGACGAAGGATCAACGTGTATTTTAATGGAAGTTTACTTCCATCGGCACTAAATCTTTTTTAGAGTCAGGAAATGTTTCAAGAAAAATTTCCGGAATCGCCAGCTCCCAACAAGTCAACAATTTGTTGATTAATCCAGCGCTTCAAGGACCCGGGGAACGTTATGGACAGGGAGCAGAGTCTCAGCGCAACTGTTTTGAAGGAGGAGAAATTATTAGAAATTCGGGAGGTTTTGAAGCACTCTCCTCAGATGTCGCTGTCGACATTGCATCAGCAATGCAATGTTTCTCTTAGCAGGGTATATGTTGCAACGATAAAATTGATTATGCGCTCTTATAAGTGGCAGATCGTTCAAGAACTGAAAACACCAGACAAGGACGCATGTATGCATTTCTGACATTGGTTTAGCTTTATTCAATTAGGGATTTATGTTCTTGACGCCATGTGTATTAGTGATGAAGCTTGGTTTCATCTGGACGGCAATGTAAACAAACAGAATTCTCGGCTGTGGTGCACATCAAAACCAGATTTAACTCTTCAAAAACCTCTTCATTTTCCAAAAGTCGGGGTTTTCACCTGATGCCTTGTTGTTTTTGAGTCTTTTGATGTGGGAGTGGATTTCGTCTTGACTTGGTGGTG